GCAGGTCAAGCAAGAAATGCCACCTGCCAAGGAGCCACAATGCTTTGCAGATCTCTCACAACATAGAATGCCACAAGGATAGGAAATGACATTATTGATATTTGTCTTTGTAGAGCACTTGAAAAATTGCTGGTAGCATGAGAAGAAAGCATTCCGAGGCCAACATGCTATTGTAGCTTCCTTGTATTCAGTCAAATTCGAGCTGCCTAATTTCTCGAAACTTTCACTGTGTTTTGCAACATTCTGCTGTGCTCTACGTTCATTCAGGCAACGGCGACTGTGTCTGCTGTGAGGCCGGTGGTTATCGATGGGCGTTTGTTCTTTTTTCAACGCCAGCAATCGTGCTTGCAATCATCGAGACAGCAGGGTCTTTAAGAGGATCGCAACCAAACCTCATCCATCCTACATGTGCATGGTGCACTATAGTTTATAGAAGGTCATCCAAACCTCATGTGCCATTCAAAGTTGCATTCCTTCTTTGTCCAGAAGTGATACATATTGAGTAAAAAAGGAAGGAAGGAAAGAAATGGCCCCAAGGCCTAAAGATACAAAAAGGAAGAAAAGAACGGGCATGTTGTCGCTTTTTCAGGTGGGAGGAGCTGCTCACCGAGCAGCAGGAGCGCTATTACCACGAGGTGAGCGCTAGCCGCTAGCAAACGAATTCGCGATCAGCCGGCTAAGAACTCACGATTGTTCTGTCCCATCCAACAATCGCTGCATATGAGATTGATTCCATGTGCTTTGGGCTTTGGGCAAGGCTCCCGTTTCTCGCTTTAAGAGGCTCCGAACCCACACAGAAGACCGGAGCGGTAGGAGGTCGCTGGTGGGGTGTTCCGGGCTCCGGTCGGACGTCCGGTTTCGGCGTCCGAACCGGTGTCCCACGTGGGAACCGGGCTCCTTCGGTGTCCTTTAAGAAGCGAGGCCTCCAACCTAGTAGCAATGGCCTCCAACCTACTAGTCATGGCCTTTTCGACATGTCAAAAGCCACATGGTTTTTGAGACCCCGAACTCTCGCCCCTGGCGGTCGACCCTCCATCCCTTCTCCGAGCCGGACGCTTGCTCGCCAGCGGGTCGGTCTCCCAAGCGCTTCCTCGGTGGATTGAGCAGTATTGAGCAGCCTGACGGAAGGGGGCGAAGGAGCTTTGACTTGTGAAATCCCATGTCCATTCCAACGAGAATCGTGAAAATGCAGCATCAACGTCATCTTGCTTTGTGCCGAACGGGCGGTGGTGTTTCTTGTTCCAAGTGATCCGTGTGCCAAACCGCAGGTGGCCACAGGTCGAAGCCAATGGGACTTGCCCAGCGAAGGCGACCGGTCCCGGTCTTCATGTGCTTCATCGATCTCACAGGACTCGACCGGTCTTCTGCGACCCTATACCCGTTCGAGTCGTCCAGTTCGAGATGTCTGAAGCGGCTGAAGTAGTTCGGAAGTTCCCGAACTCACTCAGGTCCCGGTTCGTCAGACCATTTTTGTTATAGTCGACTGAACTCCCAAGGTATATGTAGGTCCAGAAATGCTTTGCAGAGATGCATCCTTTGTCTTCACTCCGACCTGTGAGCAGTGAGCGCTTGTGTGTGACATCCTTCACTGATGCAGTGCCTCAAAATCCTGTTTTGATATCTGGCTCCACGACTGGGGAAGAATTGGCATGGGTCTTTCCAGCGTGGCGAGCCGATGGCGTCCAGGTTGGGTGGCACTCCTGGATGACGACGGTGCGAAACCCCAAGGAGCACGGCACTGGGAAGGAGGAACCGCACGCTTTGACACCCAAGATGCTTTGGGTGGGGATGATATGACCTGTGAAGATGGGGTCCCCTTATTGAGATAACCACAGGTCTTAAGACCTTAGAGCTGGTGACCGTGTATTTGGTTCAAACCCGTCCACAACATGTACTTCGCAGTACCGGTTATCGTCGTAGATTGCAGGGTCTCTTTTTTGCCACTGGGAGACTATACATTCAATAGAGGTCTCCATCCATCCAGCATGGGGATCAAAGTGCCAACCCTGAAGCCCTGCAGGCAGGAAACCGAGGGTTTGAAGGTCTAAAGAAAGAAAACGGAAGACATGACCCAGAGGGTCTGAGTTCTCTCAGAAACGCTTACGCTTCGGTGCACTTTTTCGGCTCAAGACCCATTTGGGCAACGCAGCACACGTGGCGTGTCGCGGAGAGAAGCCGTGTGAGTGCTTCGGCTGAGCAGGAAGATCCAAAAAAACAGGGCAAGTAAGGAAGGAAGGAAAAAAAGAAAACCACTCAAAGAAAGAAGGAAGGAAGGAAGCAAGGAAGCAAAGAAGGAAAGAAGGATTGTTGTTGTTGTCGTCTTCTTTATCTTTTGTTTCGTTGGACCTGTTAGACCGTGACCTTCTTTCTTTCTTTTCCTGGGCTTTGAAGCTGTCACGAACCGCATGGGATAAGAGAAGTTCGTGGTTTTCCTGGATTCTTGAACTATTCTGTTGAAGCTACGAACGGGGCTCCTGGCATCGCTACAAACGGAGCATTCTTATTCTGTTGATGTGGCTTCTGCATCCCTCAGTTTCTCCAGTGAACTGAGCCACATCGGACACTCGCCCGGTGAAATGCGGATCAACGGTCGAAAGCCATACGCTGTCCCCATGCAGCGCCCGAGGTTTCATCCACCGTGCCCCCCTTCCCAGTCATCGGTGATCAGGATTTGTCCGGCCTGCAGCGGTCACCTCCTGCGAAGCATGGGTGTCACTTGGCCAAAGGAGTGAAACAAACGAAGCTAGTTGCTACTAGTAGAAATGCCCTAGCTACTAGTAGCGTCCTTGCTCCAACTAGCGAATGCCCTTTGCTCCTAGTAGCTTATTGCTACTATGGGTGTCACTTGCTACTATGGGTGTCAACACCCCTGCTGTGTTTGAGTCTCCCAGTGATATCTATAGAAAACAGAAATGTGAGAATACAAGAGAAGGTTGAGTGCAGAATTGATCGTTTCTTCCTCATGAGCTTGCCGTAATACCTTTACCTGTGTTGAGCACGACAACGATGTCATTCAGCAACTATGAGCACCCGAAACTGATCCAGAAAGAACCGGAACTCGATGGGTTGTCCCCTTCCAAAAGAGATGCTCCTGAAAGACCTCCGTCGGATTCCGTCCCAAAAGACCTCCGTTTCTGAGGCCTGGCGCTGCGAAGTGGAGCACGTCTTCGCCTCGACGCTGGACGACCAGTCGTCCGAGCAGGTCGAGCGGGTCGAGGGGCTCCTGGAGGCCAAAGTGGAACGACAAAGCGCCTTGGAACGGCGGAGAGGGGAGTGGAGCGATATGAGAGAGCGGTTGGAGAGGTACGGATGGGTTGGAGAGTGAGAGCCTACACAAAGAGCGAAAACACCGTGAGCTCTCATGCTAGATCTAGCGACGTTTCACCAGCTGAATCAACAATTGGTCCATTGTCATTGGATGATCCGCTGATGCCCCAAGAGTGTCTTTTTGGGTTTTGGAACTGGTACTTGGGGTTTCTACTGCCTTTTGAGTCTTTGAGAAAACTCACCTGGACTGCTATTGCATAAGAGCGTTGCATTCATATGATGGGAATGCCCTGTCAAAGGATACGTAGGAGACAAAACAAGAAAGATATCCTGAAAAATCCCTATGACAAGGTTCCCAAACATTGAGAAACGATAGAGGACTCACATTTTTGTGACGATGCTTTTCGCCACACATCATCGAAACCTCCACCGGTACCTCGAGAGAGGTCGCTGCTCGGGAGAGCAGCCCTCAATGTGAGTCTAGGCCAACCGATCCCGGATTTGCCCCAAACGCACCCCTCGACCTTCTCGGGACCAAACGCACCGATGACCTGCGACCACATCGGACGGACGCCCCCGCGCGAGGTTGCTTGGAGCTGCTTCAGTCCATTGGTGGGTCCTTGGAGGAGGCGGAGGCCTTCATGGAGGAGAACGGACACGGGTTCGGTGCTGGAAACCTGGACTGAGCTTTATCCCGTGTGATATGATGTGATGTTTTTATCACTTGAACTCCCTCCTCAGAATTGTACCCGAGCTCTTTTTCCCGCACTCGGCTTCGATCTCTCTCGCCGGTGGTCGACGGTGAGGAGTATGGCGAGTCTCAGATCAGCACCTTGGCCGGCCAGATCGACCTCTGGCGCCGCGGTTTTGGGGCGTGGCTCGTGGTCTTTTTTGGGGGTTGGTTGTTGTTTGCAGCGGTTTTCGGGTTAAAAAGGACGAACTCCTAGTCTATGCGCTGGTTCAGTGGTTGATTTCGATTGCTTGGTGAGACTTATCTCTGAGGCGTCAAGGATTTCTTGGATCTTTTCTTCGAGCCGGAGGTGCCTGGCCAAGAGCGTTTGTGTAAAATGACGAGTGCCAAGTGAAACGCCACCCTCAGTCTCACTCAACGAAGCATGCAAACTGGCTCAATTAAGCATTGAAGTACTCTCCCGTCCCAGTTTTTGTGCCAAGCAGGCCTTCCACTAGATCTATGTCGATTAGCATAAGGTTGACAACCAGAGAGGAAAAGGCAAACAGTTCCTGATGACGGCGAAATGTTTGTGCATCGGAAGCCGATGCTCTTTCCACGCAGGCAGTGCCTGACAGCGATGGAGAGGAGGCAGATGACACCCGGCCCATGAAACACGTGGTGCATCGTGCGTCCGAAGGTTTGCGGCTTCTGTTTTTGGCTGGAAGGAGTGAGTGCCTCGTGGGCTGATGACGTGTCACTGCTGAGCCGAATACCATGCGGGGGGTCACTGCTCGTAGGGTGATGCGAGACCGAACACCGGGGTTTGCATCAAGTTTATCTGAATCCATAAGACTTCCATCTCAGAAATATCTATCCTTGAGTTACCTCTATTGAGCCAGACTTGAAGTTCTTTGGGCAGGTCATCGAGAAGTCCGAGTGGATGCAAAAAGCGAATGAGAACGGCCTGGCGTTGCAGTTTGCCTCCAAGGAGCTTCAGAATGACAAGGAGCGACTCATTCTCACAAGTTTGTACTGTCGTTTTGGCTGGGAAAGAGCGGCGTAAAAAAGAATCCAAGAAAGTGAGAATGAGAATCCAGCCATTTGTTGTGAAAAAGAAGTGGTTTCATCATGTCTGATCTCTTCAGTTCTGATCTTTCCAGCAAAAGCAGTTCTGCCAGAGCACTTCCAAGGAGGTGATGCTGGCAGCCGTGCAGCAAAAGGGTTTGGCCTTAGCCTTCGCCTCCGAGGAACTGCAAAGCGATAAGGACCGTGGTGTCCCCAACTCCTTTGCTTTTCATTTGTCCCTTTCACCGGGTGTCTTTTCCACTGTTCCATGTTCTTTTAGATTTTTAGACCTTCATGAGCTGTTCTTCTTTCCTGGGTTATTTTCTTCTTGAGGTCTTTTTGAGAGCTTTTTTGGGTGTCGAACGAGCCAGGACATCGTACTGGCTGCGGCACGGCAAGACTGCAACGCGGTCCTTTTTGCTTCGGAGGAGCTTCAGAACGACAAGGACGTCGTGTTGACTGCTGTACAACAAAACGGCTACGCGCTGCGGTTTGCTCCTTTGAAGTTGAAGAACGACGAGGACATCGTCTTAGCTGCTGTCCAGCAGAGGGGCCTTGCCTTGAAGTTTGCATCTGAAGATCTTAAACAAAACAAGGCGGCCGTGTTGGCTGCAGTGCAACAGGCAGGATTTGCTGTACAATTTGCCTCCAGGGAGCTTCAGAACAACAAGGAGGTGATGCTGGCTGCAGTACAGCAGAACGGATGTGCCTTACAGTTCGGATATGATTTGAAGAAGGACAAACATGTGGTCCTTGCAGCGGTCTTGCAAGATGGCCATGCTTGGCACTTCGCATCGGAGGAGCTCCGACAGGACCGAGACATTCTGCAGGCCACCAGCATCGAGTGAAAGACGATGGGACCATCGGCGGTTCGCGTTCGGTCCCTGGACCCATGCCATTCTCCACGGGCTCCGCTTCCGCTCCGTTCGCGTCCTCTGGCCGAGGACAGGGGATGTTTCCCACCATCCCTTCGCTTTGGCCAGAACCGGAGGGGAGGGCGAAAGGTGCGGGAAAAAGATGGAGAAAGTGTCGGGCCCGGATGGGCAGAAAGGATGAGGAGTTGGTGCTCCACCACGGGAGCCTTCGGACGAGTTGGAACCTCCGACGACGAGTTCGTGTTGTTTCAGAACGTTGGTGTTCGCACCGAAGGAGAATGGGAAAGACTCATCGGTTTTGGTGCTGGACGAGGTTTAAGTTCGGCATTTCGATCGTTTCCCCTTTTAGCATGCTTAAGCTGCTGTAGCCGCCAAAGGCGGCTTGATGCACGTGCAGAGACATGGAGACGGAGACTCCCCCATCTCGGCGTCCTCAAGGGACGCTGCATCGACGGATTCGGCGCATCGGAAAAGGGCATGCGTTTCGTTCTCTTCTACCAGTATGTCTCAAAGTCGCTAAGAAGTACGTCTAGATTGGGAGGCTAAAAAGAAGACGGACTTCAACCGGCCACAACGAAGCTTCGGTCGACGTGTCTTCGCCGAGGTACCAAGTACTACTGGGACCCCGTGGCTGGGACCACTCAATGGGACCCGCCCTCTTAGGCGCCGGATCCTTCGCGGTGTTTTGATTGAAGCCGGTGAAGCCGTTTCTTGTCTTTTTTGGGGGGTTTCGCAGTCTTTCTTAGGGTGTTTGGGTTCTTTAGACCTTGAAAACTTCTCTTGTCTGTTCGTTTCCTTGAAGCCTGTATCACAGCTGTTAGCCCTTGCCCTGTTTCCTTCTTTCTGTGTTAGGTTCAGAAGCGGGAAAAGGGATGGAAAGGGAAAATCCAACAAGTTATCAAAGATCTCATCAGCTCCGCTGTCTTGTCGTTTGTGTGACGATCTTCACCCAAGACGCACCACGGAACGGCGAATGCGATGCAGGTCCAACAGCTTGACCGACGAAAAAGAAGCGGAGGGAAGTGCAGGGTGAGATGGAGACGCACAGAATCGATGATGGTTCTTTTGGTGTTTCGTTTAATGCCAGGAGCGCCCCTAGTAGCGTCCGATCGCTCCGTTCGTAGCGATGCCAGGAGCCCCTAGTAGCTTATTGTTCCTAGTAGTAAGGCCAGGAGCCCCGTTCGTAGCGTCCTTGCTCCTAGTAGTAAGGCCATGTTTGTTTGTTATTCTTTTTCAAGTCATCAGACCGTTGCGACCTTCGCACAGAAGAAAGGCCAAGACTCCACTCAAGATGCAGTGCTCAACAGCCGTTTTGGCCCACTTCTTTGTCCTTTGAGCTTGGAAAATAGTGGAGCCCAAGTAAAAAGAACGAAGGGATCCCGCATGGACATCGCTTGACACAGTTTACATCGGCCCTCTTTGCAGAAAGGAATGGAGTTACAGCCAAGAAAGCCACCTGACCATTCCACATCTGACCTTTGCATGTAATTCACTCGTTATGTGCTGCTGGGAGCCCTTTGGCAGCAATCTTCGGATGTAGTTCGGCTTTGTGTTTTTACGTTGCTGTTTTGACAGCGGTTTCGGTGTGCTGAGAGATGAAGACTTAAAGGAGTGGCACGGCTTCCACAGGGCGAGTTGAGTCGAGCTGAGGAACCAATGCGAGTTCACCTGGGACATCATTCTGGTCGTCCTTGGCTTGGCCACCGCCGTGGCGGGTGTCTCCATTGGCACCAAGGGCTTCCTTGAGGCGAGGCGAGCCGCCTTCAGTCGCACCAAGAGGGTCGCCCAATTCGACGTGCCAAAAACGAACACGCAAGACACGTTTTCGACTTCTTTGTGCACTTTGTTTCATATAGCACTTAGGCCGTGATGGAGCCTCTTTTTCTTTGTCATCTTTAGTTTGTTTCCTTTTGTTAGAAGTGCTCTTGTAAGTAATGGTTCTGAGGATGCTACTTTCCAGCTTGGACCACAAGGGTCAAGATCCTGTTAAAGCCCTCCTTTTTCAAGTCTCACCTTCTTTGCATTCAAAGATCCGCACGTGTTTTTTTCTCCAGACTTCTTTGTGCAGTTCTCTTTGTGCGACTTGATTCAGGGCAACAGCTGCTGCGATGGCTGGGGGAGTCTGGGAGCTTAGACTAGGAGCTTTTGGAACGAGTTCGCCGCTGGGCCGTTTGACACCGACACCGCACAGGTGGAGCTGCTCGAGTGCTCGGCAACCTGTCGGGGCCTCAGAGCGGAGAAGCTCCGTTCTCCCTTGATCGGTCCTGACCTGTCCATCCAGATGAAAACCGAATTTGGTTGCTCGGTCCAGTTTGTTCGGATCAACTCGATGTCATGAGGTCACACCTGTAGAGTCTAACAGAGCCCCCCCCCACCGTTGCGCTCCCGCAAGTTGCGCGCTGAAGATGCGCTGCAGGGAGATACTGGCCGGACTTCTCTTTGTCGTGGTCCCGCCCGAGTCTTAGATGGAAGAAGTCCTCCAGCCTAAGAGCAGCGATGGCCTCCAACCCAAGAGCGATCAGCTGATATCCACAGCAGTTGAAAGCAGACATTGCCCAGAGGTCCTTCACCGTAATATGCACTGTCGTGCTCATCCAGTCCTTCTTCCACACAGGGCGCTTCCGGATACCCCAGTTGGACTGCAGCTTGGCGTTCCAAGATGTAATGGAAGTCTAATGTGTGGATGCAGCGATGGCTGATTCTGCCTGATTTCCTCTGAAAGTCTTTGGATTCGGTAAGTCGATCAAAGTGTTTTTTTTTCACGGAGATGTTCTTCGGGTAGCCCGAGATGGGCAAGGTTCAAAGCTTCTCAAGGTTCTTTGCAGACATTCTTTGATGTTCTTCCTCGGAAAACGATCTTTGAGCTCCAAGTGGGTTGTCATTGGATTTGATGCTTCGTGCCGAGGTCTAACTACTTCAGCAGGGCTAAGAGGCCTTCAATTGCTCTCACAGCTCCCTGGAGAGACAAGTTGAAAAAGCTCCTAGTAGCAAACATGTCTCCTAGTAGTAAGGCCAGGAGCCCCGTTCGTAGCGTCCTTGCTCCGTTCGTAACGTATCAACGCTCTATCTTTGAAGAGGTTTTGAGAGGTGGTTGTCTTTTTGCGAGTCTAGAATGCCAGAGAAGGGCTGTGTCTTCACCACTTCCGCTTCGGACCGAGTTTGCTGTTTTTCATGGGCTTGTTCCTCTCGCAGCTGCTGCTTTGTTGGGTAAGTCTGGAGCTCAAAGGCCGTCAAATCTGTTGAATTCTGTTTTTAAGATCAACCTGATAGCGATGGCCTCCAACCTACTAGCTTCTAGCTAGTAGCGGTGGCCTCCAACGTCAAATGGAACTCCTTTGCTATGGACCTTTTCCATCCTTTTCCACTGGTCACTGACCTACCGAGTTGGGACGTCGGTCTTGGGGCACCTCTGCGGCAACCAGTTGATGAGACAACCAGCACAAGTCCTGGTGCCCACCTCGGTCGGTGGCGCGTCAGACGGCGACGCGCTGTGGCGCGTCAGACGGCGACGCGCGGGCGACGCGGCGTGAGGTCACGGGGCTCTCACGATCCCCCAGCGATATCTTTCAGGCCAAACTTGTGAGGGCGTCGACATCGCACGCTAGACGTGAGGACGTGAGACGGTTCTTTTTTTGTTGGTTGTTTTTTTTGACAAGAGTTTTGTTGAAGTCATGAAGTTTTGGTCTCAGAGTGGAAGTCGAGCCTCCCACGCGACGTTCGGTGACCTTTCGCCAGAGCTTCTTTGAAGATGCCGCGGAGTTGCCCTTTCTGACGCTCAGTTTAAGGCAGGAGGGTGCCCTGTTGCAGAAACCGTTGAGATCAAGTCTCAGCAAAAACGCGAGAAGCTCGACGAATTTACTAGGTTGGAGGCTGTCGGTATTCATGTCAATGAATTCCTCTTGAAGCTCTGAAAGCACACAATCCAGGGCCTTTGTTTGACAACTACCCAAACCCAGGTACAGAGGACAATCGCCCAGATTGCAGACTTGCGGTATCTCGTGCTCATGTGAAGCCTTAGTACTGCAATAGAGAACTCTTGATCCCAAGACCTTGCAGTGGCACTAGTTCCCCAACTCCAAAAAGCTACGACGTAGGTCAACGCGAGTAATTTGCGTCATTTCTCCACCGAGAGCACAAAATGAAATCCCACCTGTTTCTATGCAGCTTAAAGATCATCCAGCATGTGCAGCAAATGCAGAATGTCAGGGAGGCGATGAAAGGCTTGAACTTGAACAGCTACTGCAACAACTCTCCCAATGCCGACCAGTGCGCCGACCAGAGAGATTCCCAGTGTCACTTCTGTGTCACCTCTGTGTGACCACATGCTTTTCTGTCCTCTCATGGCATCCATGAGATGTCCGAGATGCATGAGGTATTGGCCTCCAACCTAATAGCAATGGCCTCCAACCTAGCGATTAGCCAGGTATTTGCACGATATTTGGTTGGGCTCGTTCCTTTTGATGCTCAGCCAATCCTTCATGGCCCCGCCCTGAGCAACCGTTTTCTGGTGAACGTAGCTCCTAGTAGCTTCTAGTTTCAATTCTAATTAGATTCTAATTAAATTTAGATTCTAATATGTCTAATTGATTCTAATGTTACTTATTTCTTGTTTCTCATAGCAAACATTGTTCCTAGCAGTAAGGCCAGGAGCCCCGTTTGTAGCGTCCTTGCTCCGCTTTGTCCGGAAGGGTCTTCTCATCTTCACGAGGCCATCGCACTCCGCGGTGAAAAGCAACGCGTCGGTGTACACGAGTTGAATGAGGCCAGGAACCGGATGTGATCCGCAACCGGAGGAGTTCTCCGTTCTCTGCTGTTCTTCTGTTTGGTGCAAAGAGTGAGTTCTTTGCTGTTCTTCTTTGTGGTCAAATCGAGTTTTTTTCTTCAGATTTTTAGAGCAATCGATTCTCTGTGTCATCTGGATCGTGCAAAGAGATTGAAAGTGGGAATCTGGCACAACAAAAGCGCAAAGCTTT